ATCATCATCATTGTCAACTTTATCACTAATTGGATCAAATCATCTGTTTTGTCATTTTCATCATTATCATCATAATCAATTAAAACCTTTTGAAAGAAAAAAACTTCTTTTTAATAGTAATTGGAATCAAGGATCAATTCGTAAATTTTCTGATGTAAAATTTTTTGTGAATTATTTCTTTTTGCAATTATCTAAATAATCTAACCTAGTCATTATTGTTCAAGAATGTTGATGATACAGACTCAGATATTCCAAGATTAAAACCAAAGGTTGCTGCAACAAGAAAGAAAATATTAATAAATTGGGAAGACAGTGAAACAAGTTCATTGTAAATAAAATAATCAATAATAAATAATATTTTGTTCTTTTTTACCATTGCAAAGAAATAATTATTGTTATTTTTAAGTCATAATATTTGGTTAAGAGATCATTGTAGATGTCCAGATTGTTATCATCAAATAACAAAACAACGTCTTGTTAACACTTTTAAGGTAATCTAATTATTGTTATTATTATTACCTAAACATGCAATTATTAATTACTTGATTAATTAATTGGTTAATTAATTATAATAGATCCCTGAAAATATTTACCCTACATCTATTGAACTTGGTACAACTGGTTTAGAAATAAAATGTACATGAATAATATTATCATACTATCTACTATTATCATTAATATATTTATTGATTAGTATGAATATATATATATATATATAGGGAATGATAAACATACAAGTTTTTTTAGATGGAGTTGGTTACGAAGGCATTCTTATGATCCACAATTTTTTGATTCATTTTTTGCATTTAGACACAAGTTGGTTTTATATCATGTGATATTCTTATAATATTTAACAGAATGTGTTGGTATTTATTGTGTTAGAGAATTGGAATGAACAAATTTTTTATTACTGTTTGATTGATTGGTAATTAGGAAAACATTGTGGGATGCAAGAATTAAAGATTATCCACCAATTGCTCAATATGAAGAAGTAAGTTAATCACTCCTAGATAATAAAGATTTAGGTTCTAATAACAATATATAAAAATTTGAATTCTAGGTGATGGGCAGTGAAGTAGGATTGAGAAATTGGCTAAGGAATATTGTAAGTATAATATATTAAAATATTACTATATCTATGTGCTAATCTAAATTAAAAATCAATAGGATGAATTTGGATTTTGTTTTGTTGATGGAGTTCCACCAAGAGAGAAAGAAACTGAAGAATTAGCCAAAAGAATATGTTTTATTCGCGAAACACATTATGGTAAATTCTGGGGATCTACAGCAAATTTGGCTCATGGTGACACTGCATACACTACATTAGCATTGAAAGCGCACACAGATAATACATATTTTACTGATCCATCAGGGTAAAAAGAATATTAAATTTTTGTTAATTGATACTTTTAATAAATAATATTAAATTATCCTCCTTATTATTATTTCCAATCTCTACCCAACCTCCCATTACTTTTCTCCAATGACACTCTTACCTCTCATCATCCAGTCTCTTACTGTTTCATTTGATTGAATTTGATGGGGTTGGAGGTGAATCGTTGTTAGTTGATGGATTTTCGGCAGCCAAACAATTAAAGATGAAACATAAAGATGCATACGATGCATTATCAAGAATACCAATTCCTACACATGCAGCCGGTGACAAAGATGTATTAATTCAACCAACACCATCATCCTATCCAATTCTTAACATCAACCCATACACAAAAGAGTTATATCAGATAAGATACAACAATGATGACAGATCAACATTGGACATGTTGAGCCCAGAAGATATAGATGTGTTTTATGATTCATTAAGAAAATGGAATAGTATTCTGGAAGATCAGAAGAATGAGTATTGGGTTCATCTGTTACCTGGTAGAGTTTTAATATTTGATAATTGGCGATTACTGCATGGTAGATCTGCATTCACGGGTCATAGAAAACTTGTTGGTGCTTATTTAAATTGGGATGATTATAGATCAAAATTAAAAATTTCTAATTTACCAAAAGATGAAATTTACGAAATGATATAGATTCAAATTAACTTATTAAGAGCTTT